AAAGCTACTTATCTTGGAAATCTTGTTATTAAATTTTCAAAACTTATACATAAAAAGAAAACTTTTAATAAATTTCAAACTACCAAATAGATACTTATTGTAATTTTTTGTGATTTTAACAAATTTCGTAAAAATTCTAATTTTAAATGTAAATAAAAATAAATTGTCTATGTATTAAATACAGGTAAGTACACATTTATAAAAAAAAACTAAAACAAAATTTAAAATTTCTCATGTTTACGAAAAGCTTAAAAAGATGTTGAAAAACTTAGAAAAGTTCATCATATAATCAAAATGATAATTTAAACATTTGATGAAAATTTCAAGTATCTATTATTATTATCTTTTTTTCAAAATACAATAAAATATCAAAAATTGTTTGAAAAGAAATAACTATTTTACGGGCAAATATTGTAAATATTTTTTGAACTTCAAACGCACATAAAAAATTAATTTCACTTTCATAATAGATTAAAAAACATAAAAAGAATTTTGTGTAGGTATAAAAGTATTTACAGTTATTCGTTTTCAAGTTGCATTAAAAAAAAAACAAAATCGATTTTGTCAAAAATAGGATTTTTGTGAAATTTTTTTTCCTTAATTTTTTTTTTTATTTTTTTTTCAATTATAAAAAATAAGTACGGGGCATTTTAAATGTTGACTTCTTCAAAGTACAAACTAGACCTAATTTCTGTCCAAAACCACCCTCATTTTTTTTAAATCGAAGCGTTTTATCGACTAGTTATTGTATGCTATAACAAACGAAAGAAAAAAAAATACACTATTGTAAACTCAATGCTCCGTTAAGAACCTAAAATGTTAAAAATGAGTAGAAACTAAAAAGTATGCCTAAAGCTGCATATACACATCATAAAAATAAAACAATAATTAATCAACAATTACTTGCAACCATTTTCCACAAAACTTTTAAATTAATATAATATTCAACTGAACGTTAATAAAGATAAATATTTCAAAGTATATATGTACGATTATTACTTTATATTATATTTTTATGTCAATTAATTTACTTTTGTTCCTATTCCAATCAACTATCTACCAATTTATTTAAGTCTGCAATAATAACCATTAAAAATATAAATAATTTTTTCTGAAATAGTAGGTATAAAGTTTACCATTTACCAATAGCGTCAACAACACACATTTTATTACAATCTAAAATATTAAAAACTATCTATTCTGCACTTTTTATTGTTCTATATTCGCCTGAACAAAGTATCATACAATCCAAAATCTAATCAGAACATCCTAAGTGACCTAAGTGCATGTTTTACTTCTATAACAATATTAATAATAATTGTCTGTAAGACTTATTCAAGCTTATAATTTAATATATAAATACATAAATACATAAATATTATCAGATTAATATTGTACTTAATAATAAAAAAAAAAACCATAAAAATATTATTTATCTAGATTCAGTATCCATGTTCATTATTATTTTCGATTTTAACCCCTAGTTACCTATACAACATTTATACATTTAAGTTTCTTTGTTCATATTTCATACGTAACTATAGGTATTGTACCATAATACCACACCAAATAGTGAAACGATATCCGAAAAATACTTTAATCGATATTGTCATGGAGGTGGAGTGTTATCGACCACTAAATGCTCATTAACAAACGTCTTACTTGTGAATGGCCGAGGAAAGTCCACTATACTACATAGTCCGTGACACGTCCATGATGTCCTTAGTATTATACAATTAAAACATATCTAATCATATTATTCTTCAGATAATTATTAATATTAATATATTAATAAATGAAATTCGATGTAATTACTAACAGGCAACAGTCCAAACGCATTTAAATTATTATATAAGCCTATCACGTGTTTGCAATAGGTAAAATACGATACAAAAATTAACGTTATTTGTTTGATTAAATTTAATTTTAAATTGAAAAATATAAGTTTTATGTTGTATTATGTATTTATGTTCTTAATTGATACCTATTTATAAATTTAGCATTAAATAATAATAAATTTATATTGAAGCCTAAACTTGTTGCGACTATACGCTACAGCCTATAGAAATATCCCGAATCTAGCCTCCTCAGTTTTCTACTAACAGAAACACACAACTATATTATAATATTATATGTTTATATGATTCAATAAATAAACTGGGTAAAGTTAGAAAATTAAAAAAAAGGAAATTATATTGTTTTATTATTTTAAGTAAAATATTTAAATTTATGTCAGAAAACTTTTTTTCAGCAAAGCTGTCCATTACATCATCATAATCCATTAATCCATAATCTATGGTAAATGTCTAATGTCTATTAGCGAGTAGCGACACTAGAGTTTATGTCCTTGTAGACAAATAATAAATATCATATTATTATAAATTGATTTATTTACTTATTATTTTATATAAATAGCTTGTTGTCACCGCCCGTCAGGCGTGCTGCACGATAATGAATTTCAACAAAGATTTGTATTGATATTTTGATTTTTGATTTTTATATTATTTTCACATTTTCGCACTGCGACAACAATAGTCCATAATGTTTAATTATAATTTTACAATTTAAAATAACTGAAAATGTCACGTGTTCACCTATGTATAATTACAACAGACTAGTAAATAATATAATACAATTTTATTATATTTTGTAAAGAAAAAGGTTTTATACAAATAATAGGGTTCAAATGAATTATACATAGGTATAATTAACATCGAGTATCGAGTAATTCTAAATCCTAACATATGTATTTTTATATCTAAGACTTTAAAGGGGTCCTCAAAAAATATTCCGAACTCGGGGCCTGGAGAAAAATGGTCCCGTTGCCTCTTCCCCTGAAAGGCTCTGCTTAAGTCCAATGTTTAATAGATCTACATAGGTCTGTCATAAAAATGAGACAATTGGAGATTTTATTTCTCCGCATAGGCACAACAAACCAAAAAACTGAGTCTTGTCGCAACATTCATCACACTTATAATTGTACTTAAGATTTAAGTTCGAGCTTAATGTTTATAAATTATAACTCATAAGTCATAAAATAAGCACCTGTCTATACAATGTGGGCAATGTGTCAATTGCGAACCGTGTTACGGTGCACTAATGCACAGGAAATGATAGAAACAAATTAAGTGTATTATTATATAATTTAAAAGAATAATACATCATCATAATTGTAGGCTGTATTGTTGTAAGCAGCGAGAACATCAATTTAGAAATATTCTGTCTGAGAAATGAGAATTAACTGGCAAATGAAAATAAACTAATAATTAATATCTATAATAATCACTCGATAATGTAAACTAAACTGACGGCTTCTTGAAACACCATATCCTATGACATTACGTAATAGGTCTCTATTTTTAGATCTAAAACACTACCAGTCGGAATGCAATGCGGGTTAACTGACGAACGTCTCGTCTATAGAGTACTGAGTAGTGAGTACTCTGTGGTCTCGTCACAATCATCTACAATCTACATAATATATTTTCAACAATTTTACAATTATTGCGCTAGATATTTGTTGATATCCTCGAGAACGTTTGCATTGTTTACAAGTTCAAAGTGTAGCTTGTTAACAATTTTATTATAACATAACAATTAGTTATTTTTCAATACACTACATAACGAGTTAATTTTGTGTGGTGTAACCTTTAAAAAAATTATTTATAAAATAAAAATTTTAAATTCCGTGTGAGTGTGTGACTTACCCATTAAGTCGGGCCTTTCTGTGTCTAATTGCTCGCATTTTGACAGCATTTGATGCGATGACACGGAAAATAAAAATTCTAGGTTTCAATTTCTTGAACGATTGCCAAAGTGCTAGAACTATCGAAAACGATAACACAATAAAAATAAATAAAAACGAATTTTTTCGCGACCTCGGATCGTGTACTGGTTAACGGTGAACACCGTTGGTTCTTTTCGTGCACCGCGTACCGAGTCGTCCAATCTAAAACGCCGTGACATCCGATGGACCGGGAAAGTAATTGAGGGTCAGCAATGTATTTGTGCGGTACGTTCACGGCCAAACGGCGTAGAGATCAAATTCATCGTTCACTTTTATTAGTTTGACTTCATTCATCATTCATTGTCTCCCAACAAATCGAACTGGTTCAGTGAATGAGAGACCGAATGAGATCCAAAGATATTGTAACTGAACAGATAAAGAAAAGAATATGACCCAACCTAGGATGTAGAACGCTCATAAAAAGTTAATTTGTATCGTTCAACTAGTTAACAAAGTAAATTGCATTTAAATTTTACGCCTAAGTTATAAAACTATTTTATAAAATCAATAAAGCCATATTGATTGTCAGACTAAATACCATATATTTTGGACTATAAAATTGACGATTAATTACACTATTAGTTGTGATTATTTTAATTTTTAGTGCAATGTTAAAATAATATACTTTATACGCAAAGTATACAATACACACTTTAATATTTCTACAATTTATAGAAAATTACCTTTAAGTCAAATGTTTTTTTTAGACATTCCTATCCAATAATGTATACTTGTTGAAAGAAAAATAACCAATAATGTATTACAATATGTGTAGGTAATTATTTTGGTCGAGAACCAAAGTTAATGTTAATAATAGATTTCATGTTTGATGGCAGAAAATAGTAGGTTTATAAAAACAAATCATGTTATTAAGTATATCAATAAAACAATTTAAAGGTTACAAAATATTACTTTATTTGAGTAAACAAAATGTCAAATAATGAATTCTACACAAGTTACAAACTGTGAAATAAAACAAATTCAAAAATTTTTTTTTCGAACCTCAAAAGTTCAATATATATATATGTGTGTGTAATTTATTAATCGTAATATTTAAGAGTGAGTTGTACATGAATAAACAAAATAATAAAATCAACTGTTTTTAATCATTTAATGATAAATTAAGCTATCAAAAATGACAACTCATATATGTCCATGATACAATAAATAATTATAAAGATTATAAATACTTTCCTTAAATACTAAAATTATATTATATCATATTTTTTTTTTTTTTGTTCAAAATAATATTGGGATTAAGAGTTTAAAGATAAAGTTTTGTTGAATAATAAATGGCATACAAAATTAAATATAATTATCTTATAATGTCTTCTGCAAGTATTCATCAAAGAGATAAAGGGACAAGCTTGGATCGGGTTGATTGGCAATCAATTGCTTCAAATCGTTGGTGTGACCAGATAATGTTCTTATGATATCAGAATGCTGATGTACGAAGTTATTCTCGAAATATGATGCAACCTATGATAAAACGACATACAAAAATTTAATTTATATTTAAAAATTTTTTTTAAAGTAATTCTTACCTCGGGATCATGTTCCTTTCTACGTGTAACTTCAGCATGAATGTAATGTGCTTCTTCAGCCAAACCTTTTTGCATATCCAATGCTTTTGCCATACTTCCCAATTCATACATTTCAAAGTCAATTTGCTATTTGAATAGAAAGAATATTAACTCGACATTTATAAATAATAACTATAATAATTGTTAAATTTTATTGTCAAAAAACTTCAATTTACTTTTTCGTTCTTCTCATCTTTACGTGCCCGGAAGTTCATGTGACCTCCTCGTTTACTCATAAATTTAACAAGATCAATGGCTTTTTCCCATGTATTGTCAGACAATTTTTTATAAAGTTTTTCGAAACCACCACGGTTCTTTTCAAAATTACCAAAATGAGAAGACTAAAAGAAATAAATACATAACCAAGTAATATGTATGATTCAGTAAAAATATTAGTATATATTATACATTCAATTTTACTTATATTTAAAAGAAAGACACAATAAATAAAAATAATATATAAAAAGAAACATTATAATCACAAAGTTAAATAGATGCCCAGATTTAATTTTTTTAATAGATTAAAAACTAATGCTATCTTACATCAACTAAAAGTATCATATTTTTTAAATACACAATTTTTAAAATTGGTCAAATAAAATATATTAAAAAAATTAGTAATTAACAGTTATCAAAACCTTAAATTAATACTATTCAGTGGCGTGTAATTAGGACAAGTAAGATAAGTACCGTGCATGCTTAAAAAAAAAAAAAAATAAATTTATTTAACTTATAATATCATATGATGATATTTCATGATATAATATAGGTTTTTATTTTAGACAGAGTATACTGTATTATCTGTATTAAATTGCACTGAAAATTAAAAAAAGATGATTTTTATTATTATTTAGGTATATGATATATTGACAGAAGCACTAGGGATTTTGATTAGCCTGTTTGTATCATTATAAAGTAAGCATATCCAGGTATGGTAAAGTGATCATAGTTTTATGCAATAGTTTTAAATTTAACATTTGATAATTGAAGGGATTTTTCGGTATTTACTAAGCTTCAAAACTACCTCACACTACTGATATTATTAAATTTAAAATATATAAAATGAAAAAGCAATATATTATTAAATATAATAATAATAAATAATAATAAATAATAATAAATATTTACCATTAGCAAATATTGAAAACTACGCAAAATATGTGTGTTGGCATAGCTTTGAACATTTGTTAATAATTCATCACCTTTGAAAGCCCCATATCTTGAATTACAGTTTTGGACTTCTCCTCCTATAATATGCATACAACATTAAACAAGAAAAACAAATACAGTTGCTTACATTAAAGAAATAATAAAACAAACCAACTGGGCTGCATGCACCAATAACATCATTATAACAATATTCACCAGCAACATATCCTACACAGAAGATAGTTGTCACACAAATCGCAAACAATTTAATACTCATCTTGATACTGAAAATTAAATAAAATAAAAAAAAAAAAATTAATTAAACTATAAAATAACCTTTATTATTAGTTTTAATTAATTATTACTAGAACAACAGTTCAAATGTCCTGATACAAGAAAAATATCTTAACAATTGTTTTTAACACAATTTTAAATAAATAGGTACGTATTTATATTATTTAAATGCACTTAATTTAATGTTATTATAATTGATAAGGGTCATAAATAAAATAACCTATACTTTTATACTGTAAACATAATATATTATATCTGCTTAAACTTAATGAAAATTTTGTCAACAGGATTGTTGTACAGCCACTACTGCAGTTTTTTAGTATAAACTACATATATTCATGTAAGTAAAAACATAATACATACTATAATTAATATGACAAAGCAAAATAATATAAATTTAATTGTTTTCTTTTTAGTATTTGAACATGTTTATAAAATATACAAAAAATTTACTCAAATTAAAAAATATGTCATAAACATTCAAAAAAAGCTATAAAAATGAACTAGGCTATAAAATCAACTATAAGCTCAATTATTATTTTTTTTTTTTTTAATAGTAATGATAGAGGATTATAAATTCATACATATATTTTCCTGATTGTATCTATTAAAATTAATGACTTCTTTGTAATACAACAATGTACCAATTTATTATAACAAATTAAAGTGATAATGTAAATAACAATAATTATATTCTGTTTTCTTGGTTTAATAATTTAATGTCTAGAATAAAGACATTAATTTTCTAAACAAAAAATATGTTAACCTAATTTTTATCTATATTTTAAACAAATATAATTTATTTTACAGCTTCTATTTAAAATGTGTGTGTAGTTTACTTTATACCATAATGTAAGTATACTTGAACCAAGGCATACAATTACTACGTACAAATACTTATGATTAAGTAAACAACCTACAGATAATAAATAAAACTATGGGCATAAATCATGTTACCTATAATTATGCAAGTTATGATTAGACAACAATATTGTCCACTTGAGCGCTTATCATTAAACACATAACATCTTTGTCATTAATCTACTTATACCAGCATTTTTTAGTTTTTTTAAAATATTATTTATCAGTAATAAGATTATATTTAACTTATAATATGTGAATGAGTACTACTTAAACTATTATGCATAAATTAAATAATATAAAAATAAAATTGATTAATAAGGTACATACAATTATAAAATTTATATTAACCAATCACATATATAAAAATGCAACAGCACTACAATAGCATTTACTGTTTTAGTTTATACTATACTACATCAAATATAGTATGGCAAAACTGAAATAAGATAGTAATTTTCAAAATAAATTGTTTAGATCTAGTTCAAGATAAAAAGTACTAATCATAAAAATAAAAAATATTATATTTTGAGGTTTGATTGTCAAAATATTTTAACATGAGTGTTGTGAATTAATTTATGTATCAACTTTTTATTTAAGAGGACGCCACACGTGTTGTCTCCATCTTACATATCTACAACATTGCAAATTTTTGTTCAGCAGAATCCATTTTATGTTGTTAGCTTTAACATTTAGAGTAAATTTACCTATTATCAAACTTAAAGATAAGAATTTTATCTAGTCTATCATAATATAGGCTTTTATTGATATTTTAATTTTAAATTGAGTTATCCTCAAGTAAAATATTGAAAGCCTAAGTGATGGCCTAGATAAAATTTTTGCCTTTAAGTTTGATAATAGGTAAATTTACTCTATTAAAGCTAACAACATAAAATGGATTTTGCTGAACAAAAATTTGTGATGTTGTATGAATATAAGATGGAGACAGCACATGCAGGTGTAGCATGTCGTCCTTTTAATATTAATTTCATAAAACTTTTTTTTGTAAGTCAACAAAAATATTTTAACAATAGTTATCTAATAGACAGGAAAAAATAGTTTTATTTTGTTTATTTATTATTAAACTAGGTATTTATAACTTGAGATTTAATTTATAAAATATATAAATTATTTTTATTATTTAATATTGAGGATCAGTATATAGACACAAACAATGTAGCATTTTAAGTGTACCATTCTCTTGATAAACTTTTTTTTAGTTAATTAACATTTTTATTAATACAGGTACCTACCTGAATTTAGATTCTTAGTTAATATAATATGAATACACATAGAATCATTTTATAACACAGTTAAAATGAATAATAAGCTTTAGTTAAATAATGATATGCAATTTAGTGTGTGTTACATATTATGATTAATTGAAATTAAAGATTAAATCTTAGTACCCATCAAACAAAGAATTTAATTATAAAGTAAAAACGTCATGCCTATAACAGCTACAACCTACAACAGTAAATTGTTTTTAATTTAACATGTTACTAGAGTATAAATTAATGATAACTTGTTAAAATACACAAAATGTCAATAATTGGTAATTTTAATTATCTAGACATTTTTATTTCTATGTTTAACATTTCTATATCACTTCTAAGATATTAAAAGTATTTGTCATATAAAAAAGTTGCAATGTAAGACGTCTTGTATTTTTATAAGTATTATTATTGACTTGTAAACAAGATCAATACTTTGTACAATTTTGAAACATAAACACATAACTTTTCTCCGCATTATGTTAAAAATCGTAACAAATGTGAATCTTAATAAGACAGTTTATATATTTTAATAGTCGATAGTTACATGAGATAAAAATACGAGACAAAAGAAACCGATAGTCAACAACCAACAACCGTGTATGCGTGTTGGCGTGCAGTCATAACAACTTTTAATATTATAATACAGAGATTACAATAGCAGTTATTCATAAATAAGCATAATGTGATTGCATCATAATGTCTTTGTGACACAAAATCGGAGTGTTTTATGACACGAATAGTTTTGAGTCTAATTTTAATCTCGAGCAAGTGGTGATTGCAAGGGATATTAATGGGGTGTCGTAGAACGGTGTTATCCGTACGCGATTAGGTGGTCTTCGTACCCCGGAAGCCAGGGATGATGACAACAATAATAATAGTCGTAAAAATAACAATAACGAGTGATGATGGACAGAATAATAATGAAAAAAAAAAAAGGTCGATTTGCGACGGTAATACGGGAAATAAAAAAAAAAAATAATTAGAATCATAAATCATACTCACTCTGAACGTACTACGCAACGATGGCTGACGGAAGCGGAAAAAGACGTGCAGGTGAACGCGGGCGACGGAATGGACTGGTCGGCTGACGCGAAATGCACTCGAAGCGATTCGAACGGCGACGTCGAGAAAGAAATATGGGACGTCGCGCGACGGGGGGGGGGAGGCCTGGTAAATAACAGCAGGCGATAGGCGATTACAATGCGCGCGCGGTGTGGCGGTGCCGAACACGGTCGTCGTGCACAAAAGAACAACAAATAATCGGCGTCGTAAATTACATTTCTACAGATATTAAAACGCAAAACGGACGAACTATTGATATTGGATTATCGTTAAATCGACAGTATAATAATGTGATGTACGTGTATTATATAATGGCAATAATAGTAATGACAATAACGTTTTTGAACGGCGGAATGCGCGTCGAGTCCTGCGCAGGCCAGCTGTATCACCGACAGTCATTAACAACAAAGCAAACAAGTAAAAAAAAAAAACCCACGACGGGAATCACACGAAATAAATTGGGAAGGACAATAATAATTATTATTGTCGA